TGGGCATCGATCGAGCACGCATCCGACCGACCGAAGCGCCTTTCCATAGCATCATGCCTGGAAAGCAGGTCGTGCCACTTGGGCAGATCAATCTTCCCGTCACCTTCAGGGTCCATCCAACTATAGGACGGAGACCCTCACCTTCGAAGTGGTTGGGTTCCATAGAACCTACCACGTCATCCTGGGACGACCATGCTACGCGAAGTTTATGGCCATCCCTAACTACACCTACCTAAAGCTAAAGATGTCGAGTGCGAGGTCATCACCATCAGCACCTCCTTCCAGCGCACCTACGAGTGCGAGGTCGAGTGTTGCGATCACGCCGTGGCAATCGTCGCCTCCGGAGAGCTCGCAGCCATCAGGAAGGAGGTCGCCGAAGAAGCACCCAACCCCAAGCGGTCGGCCGAGTCTTTCAAGCCAGTGGAGGGCGCCAAGGAGGTCCTCATAGACCCTGGTAGCCCCGAGGGCAAAGTAGTGCGCATTGGCACCATGCTTTCCTACAAATAGGAAAGTGCGCACGTCGGCTTCTTCCGCGCCAACAGAGACATCTTTGCGTGGAAACCCTCAGACATGCCGGGCATTTCGAGGGAAGTCATCGAGCATGCCTTGAAGATCTGCCCAGGCTCCAAGCCAGTGAAGCCACGCCTGTGTCGCTTCGACGAGGGGAAACATAGGACCATCGGTGAGAAGATTGCGAAGCTTTTGACGGTCGGGTTCATCAAGGAAGTGTACCACCCCGAGTGATTAGCCAATCCTGTTCTTGTATGAAAGAAGAGTGGGAAATGGAGGATGTGTGTTGACTACACGGGTCTCAACAAAGCATGCCCAAAGGATCAGTTTCCTTTTCGTGCATAGACCAAATAACCGACTCTACCTCAGGGTGCGAAACCCTTTGCTTCCTTGATGTGTACTCCGGTACCATCAAATCACGATGAAAGAGTCCGACCATCTCGCGACATCTTTCATCACCCCCTTCGGATCGTTCTGCTACGTCACAATGATCGTTCGGTCTGAAGAACGCTGAGGCTACGTACCAGCGTTGTATGCTCAAGTGTTTCGGAGACCTCATCGGGCGGACCCGAGAAACTATACGGATCGACCACCAAGAATCTGGAGTTGATCACCAAACTAACCCAAGCCGGATCCCCGCGAATGGGATGCCAGCACCCCACTCGAACTAGCCAGCTAACAACTCACCGAGCACCACGGCTCATCCGTAGATGAAAATCATGGCACGGCTCCCCCTTCCGGTTGTGGAAACCATGGGCGGGGTGACAATCACAAAGGCGAGCCGACCTTTGACCGGACCCTCACTACGTGTGGGGGATCAAGGAAAGTTGGACTCGCAAGGTGTCTGGACGCACGGTCACAGAACGATGGACCCCTCGTAGGGGTCAAAAACCAGGAAAGACCTTTTCCAACCCACCAAATCTCACGGCCATACCCATGAAGGGTCCGACCTCAACGAGAGGGAATCACCGTCCCCAGGACATGCCGTGGGCGATAAAAGAAGGCCAGGGCCCTCAGAGTCCTCCCGTTCGGAAAAACCTCCGAAGGAGTATTCAACTCCTCCATAGGCTCGGGGGCTACTATCGGGGATCAATACTAGGGTACCCAAAGAGGAGTTAATAACCGTCAACGTTGATTCATCCGAGAGGTCAAGAGCACGACTACAGCTCTTGCCGACCCCTAGGTACCCAAGCTCCGCCTCGCCTGGCCTTCGAGGGATGACTCCGCCTCGCCCAGCCTCTAAGGGCGGGGCTCTGCCTCGCCCGACCTCTAGGGGCGGGCTCCGCCTCGCCCGACACCGAGGACGCGGGCTCCGTCTCGCCCGACACCGAGGACACGGGCTCTGCCTCACCCGACCCCTGAGGGTTGGCTCCGCCTCGCCCGACACCGAGGTCGCGGGCTCCGCCCCGCCCGACGCCGAGGCTGTGGGCTCTGCCTCACCCAACCTCTGGGGGGCAGGCTCGCCTCACCCGATCCCTGAGGGTTGGCTCCGCCTCGCCCAACGCCAAGGCCGCAAGCTCCGCCTCGCCCGACCCCTAAGGGCTGGCTCGCCTCGCCCAACCCTTGGGTTTGGGATCCGCCTCGCCCGACCCCGAGGTCCGAGGCTCCGTCTCGCCCGACGGAGACCCATACCACCGCCAACCACTCCAGGTCCAAGCGTATGGGCTTGGGTCAAAGCTCTGACACCAGGGAAGAGACTGGCGCGCCTCGATGTAGCCCGCGATCCACGACGGGCCATACCTGGGGGTTCACGTCAAGAACAGCGTCGGACGTACTGGTGTTGTTCTACCTAACCCCCGTACGAACACTGACGGACGCATCGGTTCATCACGACGTCCGCTAGGACGGAGTGGAGCGCCATGACCGGTAGACGACGCCTGCACATGGCGCCAGTGACGGATAGGGCCACGACGAGAAGCTGTCCCTGTTGATGCCTACAGGGTCGATAGGACCCACATAAAGGAGAAGAAGGACCCAGCGATTCTAAATGACTTCTTCCGCTCGTTCTCTTCTATTCCTCCATTGTAACCCATGCTCTCCCTTGGCCTATAAAAGGGAAAACAAGGTGTTCCATTAAGGGGCATCGGACCAACAATCACAACACATCACAGGAGATCCGGACTCAAATCGATCGGAACTCACCGCAACACACCACAAGAGACTTGGGATATGTCCCTCTCTCGATCGTTTGTAACCCCTACTACGAACTTTCAGTGCTAGTAACACGAGCAGCAACAATGAACTAGACGTAGGGACATTCTGCCCGAACCAGTATAAACCTCGTGTCCTCTAAGTACACCATCCGAACCAGACGCGTAATATTAGAAATTTACTTGTTGGTGGCAACTCGAAACACCGACACCGCCGGTGACCGCCTCGGTATCCCTACTCAGACGGCAACGGGCTTCACTCCACGACGCCTGAACACGGTCAGGCTCAGGTCACGCCACTTTGGGTGGCGAAGACTACCCCTTAGGAGCGCCGCCCCTATGGAGGACGAGGAGGGCGGTCCACCGGGCTTTGGTCCGCGCGAGGCCTTGGCGGATGCTGACATGTTCAGTATGTCGCCTCGGGAGGACTGCACGGTCGACGTCAGCGACAGCTCCGCTGCACGCCGCTTCAAGAGCTTCACCATGCGTCTGCTGAAGAAGGTCGACTCTCCGCTTATTCAGCCTCCCAAGCAGCCTCCTGCTAAGACGGTGATGTCGTGGCGGAGCGGACGGTTGGCGACTCAGAGTACATGCTTCCAAGCGAGGTGATGTGCTAATCATACAGCATATGGGCTACACCAAAGGTCCATCAGCGCCATTCGCGTCGGAGCTGGATGCCTTTAACAAGATCTTCGCCGGCAACCTGACTGCATCCAACGTCGAAGCGCTGAACGCTCTTTTCCCAGACGGTGGAAAGGGCTCGTCCAGGCAGCCGCGAAGACGCAAGGCCACCTCCTAGATCGCATCGCATTGCTGCATCAGTATTGGTTGTTTCCTTTTATGTAATATCGAAACTAGAGATCTTCTGTTATGATGGTCTAGCTACGGCTATTTTAGATCGACCTCCTTTGACGCTCGGTAGATACGTGTTGTCTGTATGTTTAAACTCTTCTAATACAATGATACGCAAATCTTTTACGTATTCAAGAAAAAAAATCACTAGAGCAAATAATTTCATCATAGCTGAGCCAGTGGCGCACCTGTGCCCACAAAAAGAAGAAAAAAAAAAGATGACTCAGACGCGCACAGACACGACAGTAAAATCCAAGAACAAGATCATGCAGTCTGTTGATAAAGCAAAACCAGATCAGAACGAATGATCGAATCCTTCTCAGAAGTTTCTTCGCAGATACAGGCGACTAGACGATTCTTCTTGTTTCTCCTCACCACCAAGTACCAACTCACGAATCCGAATGAAACCTGAAGAATGCAGTGCGGGAGCCAGGAGAGACGACACACGGCACAGCGCAGGAAGGGAAGATCCATGTAAAGCCGCGCAGTGCGGCGTCAGCTTTCGCCGTCGCTGACAAAAGCAGGGCCTGCACCAAAGAAAAGCCATGGACGACTCAGGAATGTCCCTTCCTGCTGAGATCTCGCATCAAATCCAGGCCGGTTTTCTGTCACCACATATGGGCTCCTTAGTCATGAATTAACCCCATACCTGCCTTTACTTCGAGACGAAACTGGTCCAGGGAGCGCCTTTTTTCCATGGCTAAGCAACTTGCCCTTGTTTCCTTCTCATCTCACCTCCTCATTATTGACTGCTTTCCAGTTTTTTTTCGAATTCACAAAAGATTTGCGTATCATTGTAATTAAGAAGAAGTAGAGTTTAACCATACACACGACTGCTTTCCAGTTTTCAACTTGAGACTTCATTAACAGGAAGATTGCATGAACTTCCAATGATTGTGAGTTTGTGGCACATTTTATTACTTCATCTCACCTTGGCCAATTTTTAAAACTGCACAAGGAAAGCATGGGCAGGTGTTCCTCCAAAATGAACCGCTGATTCACTGGCCATGTATGTATTGGTGGGAAGAGCACATTCCAAGCCGCTGTCTGAACATGCCAAGCCAGAAACATGAAACATCGAGCATCAGGCTAGTATTTGTTAGTGCCAAGAATAACCCAAGCTTTACCTTTATCCACCTCAAGAAATATGCTTTTGTGAGATAAAGCAGACCCCAATCAATTGCCGGCAGCCGGCAACTTTGCCCCACTCCACACCTTTGCTCGAAGCAGCTGTTGTTTTTTCAATGGCGGAACACGAGATAGTGGCCCCACGCCCAATTTTCAAAAGCCCCTCTTTTCTCCCTCTTTATTTTGGAAGGAGGTGCCACCACTAGGCTCGATCAGACTCCTTTTAACTCCATCACTCCATTCCCTGGCTCTCGTTGTTGTGGTTCTTGCTCTCTAGCTTGCTTTCCCCATTAAGCCTCTCTACACTCTTGAGCTCCTCGTCTTTGCCTTGTTGTACTTGGTAGTGGTGGTGCTGCAGAAATGGGCACTCCTTATCACCTCCAATCCCCAAGAACCATCATAAACAAGCTAATGAACAGGAAGCAGCTGCCACTGGCCTTGCCACAGCCGCCGCCGGTTGATCCGTCCAAGGTAATCGAGCAGCCACCAGAGCTGCCACAGCTGCCGCCGGTGGATCCGTCCAACGAGCAGCCACCGGCGCAGCTGGTGGATCCATCCAAGATAACCGAGCAGACACAGGCGCTGCGGCAGCCGGCGCGGGCACCGTCGAAGATAATCCTGCAACCGCGCCATCGGACCTCGCCGGCGATGTGGTGTGCGGCCATCGTCTGCTTCGCCTTCAGCATCCTCCTCATCGTTGCAGGCGTCGTCATCCTGATCATCTTCCTGGCGGTGAAGCCAAGACCGCCATCCTTCGACACTGCCAACGCCATCCTCAACAGCATCTACGTGGATTCACCGGCCCCCTACTTCAACAACGACATGACGCTCGTGGCCAACATCTCCAACCCCAACAAGAAGATCAACTTGGTGTTCCGGTCCGCCACCATCGAGCTCTTCTTCCAGGACAGGCCCATGGCCGTGCAGGCGCTGCCTCTGTTCCTGCAGCGGCATGGCCAGTCCCAGGTCCTGAATATGCACCTGGTGTCCAGCCGAGTTCTGCTGCCGCCCGAGGTGGCTGTAAAGATGGTGAACCAGGTGAGGAGCAACAGGGTGGTGTACACAATCAAAGGCACCTTCAAAGTGGAGGCCAGGTTTGGGTTTGGCCACTACTCATACTGGATGTACACAATCTGTGAGCTGGAGCTCACTGCCCCTCCTTATGGAGTTCTTGTTGCCCGGAGATGCAGAACAAAATGACTGGCTTTAGAAAATTTCACTCGTTTTCTTTTGTTATTATATCAAATATTAGTTTTTTATACTGATGATGAAAAATGGCCTGAGAACAGCAAAACATACCTATTGATTCATGTGAATTTGAAGTTGATTCTTCATCTTTGTAGATCTCTTGGTTGCTCAGTTGTTGCTGCATCCTGGTGGCTAGCTGCAACACAGTAGGTCAGTAGCTTAGATTGTAAGCAACCTGAACATAGACTTCAACAAAGTGTGTAATGTACAGCATATGGAACTCGTTGCTTGAGTGTAAGCAATACAGTGGATTTTTATCGAATTTGTATTGCAGATTGAGACGACACACAAAGCTTGGATAGAGGTGATTCAGCAATACATCACCACCATCTATAACCATAATCTCATAGTTTTCCAAATGAGGGCAACACTGAATCTTTTACCACTAAACTGGTGTTACATATGGACAGCACATGCTCCATGATAAATACTCTTTTCTGAATTCTCATATCAGGACTAGTTTTACAACACGATGTGTCAGATATCGATAAAAAAACTGTCACGCACATTACAGTTTGATCTACTAAGTCTGGACATAAGCCTATATGCTGCCGCGGACCTCAAACACCCTTACAGTGTGATCAGCTCCACAAGAAGCGAGCTCAAGTGCCGATTTCTCATCGGTCGAGCTGGGTTCCTGCCACCGTAAACGGTGAACAGTTGACACGTGACACAAGAGAGGGTCAAATTGAAGCACGCATGCCACACTGAGCGGAGTGTTTGGAGTACTTCCTGCAGCTCTTCCACCTGAAACACTCCAGAGCTCGATCAATCCATTATCCATGCCAACAGCGAGGATACCAGCATTAGAAGCACGGTCACGGCCCATCCATGCTAATGCAGTTACACTGTCACGGAACTGAGGCAATATTGCAAGTAGCTTGACAGAAGATGCGTCTTCAACACACCATATCTTGACACTCTTGTCCCTCGATCCAGTTGCAAATTCATAGCCGAAGGGATTCCATGAGCACGCCCATATAATTCTTTTGTGTGCTTCAAGCTTTGCAACCAGACGGTGCTCTGCTCCTTCTTCTAGAATTACACAAGTGATATCATATCAACAACTCCAGCACAAACGAAACAGCATGACTGGAGAGACAAATGTAAAGCAATAACTTCAAAGGCACTACATGATCATAAGAATTACTGCCTACCGGTTTTCCTGATTGAAAAGATAGACAATTGGCGATCCCTCGAAACACTTAAAAGAAACGCATTATCACGAGAGAACTCCATTTCTGTCACTGTTAGATTGTGAGATTGCAAGCGGCCAACAGCTTTCCATGTTCCAACCTCCCAGAGCCAGATCTCAGCAACTGCTGCTGATTGAGCCTGAATGGGAGTGAAATTCCATCAAATTTCCCATGGATACAGTAAAATCAAACCATTAATAACAATTAAACATATTCAGCATCAACTAATGTAATTATGCTAATATGTCAAATATTAACAAAAAAAATGCCAAATGAAGACGCACTAGTTTTCACACAGTGGTCCATCCTACATGAATGGTATCCATCCAAGAATACTAGAATCATCCCATCATATTTGAAAAACAAGCATTTGTATGTGAATCCACATCCCCAGTTATCTTAAGAGAAGGTATGAATTACTGAATCAAAAGCTCAAGAATATACGGATCAACAAAACATTTTTCAATGGCATCCATCCTATGGACCCCTTCTTCATATTAAGATGAAAAACAAGCATTTGTTTGTGAATCTAATATACATATACATCTTCAATAAACAGCAGTTATGGCAACAGTCCAGCCCATCTCCCACCTGTGTCTCCAACCTTATCCTCCTGCTTCGTCTCCTCCCTCTCCGGCATCCAGCCACGGGCCTCCGAGTCTTAAGAGAAGGTATGAATTACTGAATCAAAGGATCAAGTATTTCTTGTAACATGATCACACATATACGGATCAACAAAAACATTTTCTCAATGGCATCCAGGAATTCCTATGGAATAATATGGTATTATCACGACTTGCTTTTGACTTTTGGTATTGCTGTTGTTGTTCTATTAACGAATTTCACAATTAGCACAAGAAAACATGCAGCAACAATACCTTGCAAGACGATGCAACAAGCTTCCCTTCATAATCACAGCATATCGAGAAGAGCTCGTTTCCGTGACCATATAGTTTGTGTGATTCAGGCCATAGAGTATTCCATGCAAGCTGGTCCTCCACAGGAGGCTCAGTGAATACAGTAGGCACTGCATCAGGAATTGTTTCCATAGAATCTGGACCATCATTAGAATTACCGCTTGGGGATTCCTTGACTGCTGCTACACCACCATGCAAAAAGCAACATCAAATAAAAGGAAAAAAACTGAATTATATACAAGTGTGTTTTCATGCCAAATAAAAGGAGGCATTATTATTCAATTACAATAGACATGGGTGGTGTGAGAGATACTGACCATGTGTATATATGGGTTTCTGTGAAAGCCCAAGAGCAGACATATTTGCTCCAAGGACTTGAACATTGTCAAAATCCTCAGAGATGTCAGGTTTCAACAGAGTTGCTTGTTGTAGGGTCTTCAAAAATGATAAGGGGGCCTCAAAGACTCTAGAGACCTTTTCATCAGCACCACTAACAAAGCGATGGTTCCCACTACCCTGAATGAATGTCACACAGTTGAGATCATGGCCATGAATTTGTGGACGGGCAATTTCACGCCAATAGATCATGTCTCCAGGGTTAACTTGATTTCTCCAAGGAGCAAATATACGTGTTGTCTGCATGTTTAGCATTGATGTAAAAGAGCATTAGCAAGTAGAAGAGAAAACACAACTAAACAAATATATGAGTTCCAGAAGTCAAAACTGGTATTAAGTCGAGGAACTTGCCTGGTCATGGCTAACTGATAGCAAATATTGGCCAGATCTTGCCCATGTCAAGTCAGACACAGGTGCAAAATGACCAGACGGGACTATCTGAGGCTGCCAATTTTCAGAATCCAGTCCAACATCTCTCCACATATGAAAGGATCCACCATAACCATGTGCAAGAATGGATCTGCCATCAGGCTGCCAATGTCCACCATAAAATCCAAGTGCGGAGTGACTTAATTCACCAACAGTCACTGAATTAATCCAAAGGCCAGTATTTTTCTCTGGCCTCCATATCATCATCATCTTGTCCATGGATGCAGATAATATGCTCATTGGCTGATGAGCTCCATCCCCAGTTAACAATGTAGGCGGCTGCCACTCTACGGAATATACCCAATCGTCATGCCCAACAAGAAGAGACTCCAATGATACTTGGTAACTTGTACTGCCGGCCACAAATAGAGGTCCTTCAATATAGGAGGTCATCTCAATAGTTCTTTTCCCCAATTGTACGGAGGAGCCAGAAGAAGCAGTTTCTGAAGTCATTTTCCATATCCGAATGGTTCTGTCCTGAGATGAGCTAACAAGGAAAAGGTTGTGCTTTTCACCACCCATCATCACAGGTAAAGAAAAGTCTAAACTTCTGATCCAATCAGAATGACCTTTAAGTTCACATGCCTTAATGAACTGCGCACAGAAAAATGTGTAGTTAGGGTAGCAAGAAATGGAAGAATGGACAAAAAAAGATATTGCAAAAACAAGTTACAAACCTTGCCTGCCTTATCCCCACAATAGATGTGGATCTTGTGATCTAAACCACCCATCGCCAAAATGAGATGGCCTCCTTGTTCTGGCAATACAGCTAATGAAAGTGAAACCACTGGTTTCAAACCAACGGACAGAGAATGCAGGCAAGACACTTTGCAATCACCTGTGAAGAGAAAGCAAATAAGTTAAGTACAAATGCAGTGCCACATTCCCAAGAACTGTTAAAATAGTTTGAATAGTTAAACCAGCATGACAAAAGATTAGGCTCCTAACACTAATATTGGCAATCTACAAGGAAGCAATCTTACCACCAGGGGTGGGCTCAATTGCTATCTCCCAAATAACAACAATACCATCCGAAGAAGTAGAAGCAAAAATTGCAATAGTATCAGACACCATCCTTCCAGCAAGACAGGTGATCCCTTTCTTATGCATCCCTGGGAGCTGCAACGCATGAGACCACTGCAAAGAAGGCGTAAACAGTAAATCAAACAATTAGGCATCAGCAGAAACCATTGGAGTCCATTTTTAAGTTTATCAAACAAATATTTCCCAGCAAGAATACTGCAAGGTTGCAACCAATTCTAATATTACAGAGCAGTGAGCAGCCAATGTAAGTACAGAACATAGTATACAATTAAATGAGGGTGAATAGATAATGAAGTCACCTCTCCTTTGCCAGAACCAATCTTCCAAGCCATGATAGTACCATCAGCACTTCCTGAGAGTAGACAGTGTGTCTCCCTGCCGCGAACTGCAAACCATGAAGGAAAAACAGTCAACAAAATGGAGCACTAGGCCTCACAAAGGAGAAAAAGAAACCAGAGTTCAGGATCAGACATGTCTAATCTAGTACTGTGTATGCAACCTGTCAATTACCAACTAAAACAATTCAAGGAATGAACGAAATAACAATAATCTATAAAGCTCCAGACGAATAGACGATCACTGCTGATACTTGGATCACATTACATAGTCAAAACATATAACCTTGCTAAGCCCAAAAAACAACAAATGGAAAAATCTATCACACAAGAGTCGTTTCAGCAATCAGCAACCTCCAAAGTACAGTAGTTACAATTCGGAAACATTGAGCCTACGAAATAAAAAATATGTTAAAACAAAATAAAAGTGACCCACCTTGGAGCACATCCTTCTTAGTGGGAAGCCATAGCGTGCAGTTCACCGGCGCTTTGTGCCCCGGAAGCGTTGTCACGATCTCACCTCTCTGCTCGCACGAACACGAGTTCGGACGAATTGGGTGACACGAACAATTGAGATATACTTATCAGGTAACTAAAACCGCAGGAAATAGAAAATGGTGAAGGAGCGAGGCGGC